CTGCTGCCTGAGCAGCTTCCACAGAATGCAGAGCCCTGAGGTTGCTCTGGTGCCTGTAGTTTTTGATCCCTGGGAAAACCAGCAGGAAAGGGCAGACTTTTCAGGGAAGGCAGACGGTTCAAGGCAGGAACGATAAGGTCAGCGGCATATTGCAGAAAAAGCAAGACCCAGGAGTCAAGTCTCCCACCCGCCCATCATAGGCATAGATGAGGGGACTTCAAAAAGCTTGTGGAAACAACAGAAGAGAAGATACTGGAATTTTCCCACTAACGTTTTGAAACCCAATATGCCTGAGCAAGATCTACGAGCTTGCTGTATCTTGGCCTGTTTGTGTAGATAGAATGCCAACGCATGGCAACCCTATAGGTCAGTAGAACTGCCCCTGTGGGTTTCTGAGATGGTAACTGTGTATGGGAGTAGGACGCCTTCTCTTTCTCCCTCAGAGCCACTGGTGGTTTCGAACTGCTGACCTTACGAATCACAGCCACCAGGTAACCATGACGCCACCAGGGCTCCTGGCATTGACAGTGCCTCCACTGATACATACTCATCTCAGATTTACTCCTCTTCAATGGACTCATCCTCCCCCCTCCCTGCAATCCCCTCCAGTGGGGACTGCAGGCCAGAGATCAAAAACGAAAACCCATATGGGTGTTGGCATGCCCCGTCCTCCCTCACAGCAGACACGAGTAATCAATTGTGCACCATAGGCACCGGCGCCGCAGACCCTCCATGCCACTGACAATCTATTTCCAAGGGGCAAGAACAGCCAACCCTTTGTGCTGACAGAAGAAATCAAACCCATTTGGGACTCGAGCCAGGTTGCGTGTGAACCTTGGGAGGAAAATGCTCTGCAGGGTGGACAGAGGGACATGTGGAAACAGAGGAGCAGACGTGGGCCTCAACAACTCCAAGAAGTCTCTTTGGGAGGACACGTCCTTTGGCTTCTCCAGACTCCTTGGCAGTGCCCTGGCCCCCAGACCATGTACGGTGCTCTTGCCACCACCGTGCCAGCTCCCACAGCCAGGACATCAGGGCACAGCTTAAGTCTTACACAATGTTGCACAAAGCAGAAGCCCTTCCCCCTACCCGGCTCCACCGCTTATCCAAATACACACATTTCCCAAACACAAGGGAAGGGGGGTGGGGGGAGTTCCCCGGCCCCAGCCTTTTCCTAAAATTGCTCTTATCCTAAAACCACTCCCCAGCCACCAGGCCCCTGGGTCCACTTGGCAGGACAGTAGTAGCACAGCATACCAGGAGGGCAGGGAAAAGGTGGGAATAAGAGGGGAGGAAGGTGGAACTGATCACAATGGTGGACACATAACCACCACTCCCACCACCCCCAGGGGGACAAACAACAAAAACCATGTGGGAAGGGAGACAGCAGTTGGTAGAAGATATGAAAACAATAATAATTTATAATTTATCAAGGGGTCATGAGGGTGGGAGATGGGGAGGGAGGGAAACGAGGAGCTGATACCAAGGGCTCAATAGAAAGTAACTGTTTAGAAAATGATGATGGCAACATATGCACAAATATGCTTGATATAATGGATGTATGGATTGTTATAAGGGCTATAAGAGCTCCCAATAAAATGATCTTTTAATAAAAAATAAAAAGCCTGTCATGAACAGTAGTGAACAAGGTTTCCCAAGTTGTGGTTCTCAAAGCAAACGTACAGCGTAAAGGAGAAAGAGGGCAGAAGGAAGCAGGGCGAGCAGGGCCATCACCTTCCCCCAAGATGACGGATGGACAGGCAGCAGGCTAGACACAGAGCATGATTTCAGGCTTACTGGGAGGCTGGCCCAGGCCACCCACTGAGGCTTGACGTGCCTCCAGCAGGGACAGAGCCTTTGTCACGCCAGACAGACAAAGCGAGCAGGG